TCTGCTCAGAGCCCTCTGGCTGGAGCTGCCCAAGGTGTAACTCTGGGACCATGCTCATCTTCTGCATGTTGCATGGTTCTGTCTTTGCCCAGTAATTCAAAGCAGCTTTCCAAGTAGGGTCTGGTGCCACGTGGCACTTATATTCTGGCAAGGCCTAGGGACCTATTTGCATGGTGGGATAAGGCATCCTCTGATTGACTGTTGGTTTACTCTGAAACAGCAGCTCCCATTTGCCAGGTACCCAGTCCAGGTCCCCACTCCCTGGGAAGCAGCCCGAGACAGGGGTATGCATGCAGGAAATGTATTGGTGGGTGCTCTGGGGTTTTCCACTTGGAAACGGAGAGGAAGCTGCAGGAATGGGCAGAGGGAGCAGTGGGCAGCAGTGAATGCAGTCACAAGGGCTTAGCTGACCCCACGAGGAGGAGTTCTGAGGGTGAGTTGTTCCATTCTGGAGTAGGGGGCACAGCTTTACTGCTCTCATTGGCCTGTCATTGGATAAAGCTCTGCCCCTGGGAATAAAGTGGTTGATGGGGTTGGGGAGGCAGGTCTCTGCAGCTGAGGGCAGTTTCCAGAGATAGCTTGAAGCTGAGGGCTGGCAGCTGGCAGCACTGGCAGCAGCTGGGGTAATAAGTCCTTCACCCCTGGAGGCCCGGCAAGGTCTCCCCCGTGCTGTGCCAAGTATATTCTAAATGGGTGGAATTAAACAAGCAAAGCCAATGGCAACACTGTGTGGTAGCATAAGGCAGGTGAGTCCCCAGAGTCTCGGGGTTTGCAGACAGTGGGGATGCGGGGGATAGGGTATTACACTTGCTTGTGGGAATATTTGCACTGGGTCTTGGGAAATCTTGCTTTGAGGACTTTTGCCATGATCCAGGCAAGGTAACCTGATTGAAGTCCTTGGTACATAAAGCGAAGGTTCTTTTTACCCAGGCCACCAGGCTAGACATGAAGTCCCCCAACCCTGGGACTGAGCAGTGACATCTTGGGCCGAGGGCTGCAGCTCTGAGTCAAGTTTGCTTGTTTGCTCTCCTTCTCAAGATGTTCCAGGAAATGTGGCTGCAGAGTTCAGGGCCATGGTTATCTTGGACCTCAATTCCTGCGCTCCTGGCCAGGCCAGGGTATCAAAAGGACAAGCTGCAGCTGCTCTGGGGCTGGACCAGACACCCTGCTGGGGGCAAGGGGCTCCCGCTGACTTCTCTGCAGTGAGCAATCTTTTCATTCTATTGCACGTTCCTAAGATGCAGATTTTCTGGAATGAGGGGAATTGCCTTGTTCAGCTGAGAAAGCGGGGTAGGGGTGGGGTGGGGGAATGGGGGAGTGGGGTGGGGTGGGGTGGGAGGGGTGGAGGAGTGGGAAGGCAATGAGGTGGGAGGGCTTTGGGGAGCAGCTATGATCCGGAAGGAAATTCTGCACACGAACAGGCCCAGGTTGCTTTCTTCCCTTTCCGTCAGTGGGTCAGTGGGTGGGGCTCTCACCTCTTCCCAGAACTGTGCCTCTCTCATTCATGCTGACACAACTGACCCGTGCGAGTGTTTATGCTCGTGGTGCACTTTCCCGTCTCCTGTCTCTTTGTATCCCCATGAAAGCACTAGAAGACTGAAATGACCCCTGAGCGGAGGCAGCATGGAGGCACATGGAAGCCACATGGGCTGGCTGGATGCTGGGGCTCAGGTCACCTGTTTCTCCAGCCCGGCTTCTTCCAGTATCCTTCTGCACAGTCCATGTGTCTGTGTGGTGGCCTACCCTCAGGCCATGGCTGCCACCAGGATGCTTCCGGGGTATTCCCTGGGCTGGGGATGGGCAGACACCCCCCCCCCCAACAGGATTCTCAGGGAAGGAGACGGAACTGCTGCTCCTAACACATCCTTGTTTGACAGACTCAAGTCTCCTAGTGCACACACTCATCCCTATGGCTTCTTAAAATGGGATTATTGCTTTGAAAACTTCCAGCATCGTTCTCTCTGGAAAGCCCTGCCACACCTTCTCCTCTCCACTCTTCCAGGGAAAGACACATCAGTGCGTCCTCTCGACCTGGCCCAAACACACCTCCTACACCAGCTCCACGAAGTCTTTCCTGCTGCAGCCCAGGTCCCCTCTCTGCATCTCAGTAGGGTTGAGGCACCAGAGTGAGGTAGACAACACAGCGGAGAGTCACATCCATGGCTGTCTCCCAGAGCCAGCTGCTGTTTTACAAGACCTCAGAAAAAGCCCTCCAGCTTGTTAAGCATGAAGAGGAAGCCGCAGGGCTGGGGAGCTGATGTTACAGCTGCTGGCTTCATCTCTACCATGACCTACTTTTCGCACAGTCTCCCAGGAGTCTTCTTTGGTTGACACCTGCTGAACCTGGCTGCAAAGGAGTCTGGGAATTGTAGTTTTCCTCTTTCTAACCTATTCACCGGGCTGCATAGCCCTAGGCAGATGAGTGCCCACTCCCAATGCTGACACTGCAGTAGAGAAGGCAAATCTATCAGTGTTGGACACTTCACTACAGAGTTCCCCCAGAGTAACATGTGACGCTGAGAGCTCTGGGACATGGCCAGATATGGTTTAGACATGGAAGGATTTTTTTTTAAAGATTTATTTATTTACTTGAAAGTCAGAGTTACACAGAGAGAGAAGGAGAAGCAAAGAGAAAGAGAGAGGTCTTCCATCCATTGGTTCACTCCCCTATTGGCCACATTGGCTGGAGCTGGCCAATCCGAAGCCAGGAGCCAGGAGCTTCTTCCGGGTCTCCCATGTGGGTGCAGGGACCTAAGGACTTTGGCCATCTTCTACTGCTTTCCCAGGCCATAGCAGAGAGCTGGATCAGAAGTGGAGCAGCCTGGACTTGAACCAGCACCCATATGGGATGCTGGCACTGCAGGTAGCGGCTTTACCTGCTATGCCACAGTGCCGGCGCCTATGGAAGGATTTTATCCAAGTCACCCATCCCTTCAGCTTCAGGCAATCTTGGTTCTTAACAAGGCAGCAACTTGGTCACGCAGGAATTCTCTCTCCTTTCCACTTGCTCAGTGGGCTAAACTATTGGAAGAGCTTAGCAGGAGTCATGGTGGGACCGCCTATCCTGGGTAATAAATAGCCCATGACCATTCATGCTGCCTGTCCCATGTAGATTGGTGAGGGGTTTTAGAGTGGCCAGGGACTCAGGCTGCCCAAGGCCCCACTTCCAATGGGCTCCTCTGTGCACACCGGGCTAGGTGCACACACGTTTCTGCACCATGTGCTGCTTTTCCTCCTATTTCTCCAGCCAGTCAGCCACACAGGCCTGGCCCGGGGGGCAGGACTGAGACATGGGGCACGGCACTCCCACCCTCGTGCTTCCCACTGTCCAGCTGGTGTAGCTGACCATCCTCCCGTACCATGTTGCTTTTCCTCTGGGCATGTCAAAGATACTGATAGAATTTGCACTTTTTGAAAATGCCCTGTGGAAAACTAGCATGGGCCCTAGAGGAAGAATTCTAAGCGTGCCTTTCCTCAGATACCTCAGTGGCTCCCAAGTCTGTCATGGCCTGATGGGTCATGAATGCTGTGTGCTCAGTTTTCTCTAAAACTTTGGCCAATCTTCCTTGCATTAGGGAGGGAAGAAGGTAGAGGTAGTGGCTGGAAGCCCTCAGGTACCCACCCTGACCCTAGGCTCTCCCTGACCCCATCTTCCCAGTCTGAAGCCATTTCTGATGCGCCTACATCAACTCCACCCCTGCTTTACGTTCCCTCGTGGCGTTCCCAAGGTTTGCACAAGTGCTCATTTTCTTGCCTAGCCTGAGAGCTCTCTGGTCTTCATGCAGTCCCTCTGCATGGCTCATGCAGTGGGCCTCAGTATTCCGAGAGCATTTTCCATAGGAAGTACTCTATGTGCTTTGAGTGAAGAGAGGATGGATGGATGAGTGGATGGAGGGGTAGATGGATGATGGATGGAAAAATGAAAGAACAAAGGATTGGCCATGTGTGGAAGCCAAGAGGGAGGACAAAGAACCCTGTGCTCCTCCACAGGTGGCTCTGCTAATTCTGATGAGCTCTGGGAACACAGAGGACCAAACAGGTGTGGAGATGGCTCAGGGCCACCTCTCACCACTTCACAAACTGAGCCCTGTGTCCTGCGTGGCCAGCAGTGCCAGGTGCACATGCCTTGACTACCCTTTGGTCTTGGATCAGCTCTTTAGGGCCAGGGCTAGCCTAACAGGGTTGGTAGTGTAAGGTGCTGCTGTTTTTTCTTTGGTGGTCTCCAGGCTTGGCTGATTAGAGTGGGAGAGAGAGTGACAGGACAGGTGCTGCAGGTTCTTTCTGTGGGATGGCCCTGCTGTCTCTGTATTCCATGTACAAGGGATTCTGGGCAGACACAGGAGATCTCCCCGGGCCTCTGAAGTCCGGAAGGGATCAGCAGGCTAAGGCAGCTGGAGGCAGTGACCTGCACCTGTCCCCTCCCCCTCGGGAGGAACCTCAGGCATCATTCCCTTTTCAGTGCACCAGGGACCGCCATGCCTCACAGATCCCCCTGGACGCAGCCTGCAAGATGAGGGAGAGAGCAGGGAAATGCTTCAGGGCAGGGATGCAGTGCACAAGTCCGTGTGGTGCTGGGGACAGCGCACTCACAGACATCCACCTTCCTTTTCTCCTTCAGCTCAAAGAAAGGTGTGGAGCAGAGAAGTGGCCCCTCTGCTGGGCTTGGCACTCTGGGTTTTCTCCAGAGAAGTGTGAGCTCTTTGCCTCCATCTTCCTTTCCTTTCAGTTCACGTGAGAGGACTGTGTACTTGCAGAAGGAAGCCAGAAGCTTAGGGACCAACCACACTCGAGAGAGGCAGAGAGCAATGGCCCCACCAGCCCGGCCTGTGTGGCCACCAGGCCCAGGGGGGCCTCAGGCCAGTGGGTGCTCCTTGTGGACCACGGCCTCTGGGTAGCCCCAGTGGTTCTTCCTTTGGTGGAGGTGCTGCCAGGAACCCCATGTTGGAATCCAGCTCCTCCCCCTCAGCTTCCCATGCAATGATGCTCATGGCCAAGGCGGGTACCAAAGGATTAAGTGTGCTGTATTATCATGAGTAAGGACAATGCACTGCAGTAGTAAGCACGTCATCGATACATAGAATATTCTATCGTCAGAACACAGGTACAAAATAAGTTATCCTTGCGTTGTTTCCCATCACAGGAGGAGCACAGCATACAAAGTGAGTGGACAGAGCGGCCAGGGAGCAAGCCAGGGGAGAGGCCGTGGAGGGGGCTGTAGGGCACTGAGTGTGGCGGGGATTTGCCCAGGACAGGTCAGAGTCCTTGGGGACGCCACAGGGAAGGAGACCCCAGACCTCTCCAGTTAGCCTGCTGTGAGTGAGCACAAAGTCCCACCTGATCCAAGAGTGGTGGCTGTGTGGGAGCTGGGCTGATGCAGGCTGCTGAGGGGGAGGCTGGGCAGGGGCAGGCTCAAACAGCCTCCAGCAGGCTGCCCATGCTCCTGCTGCTGCTGCTGCTGGCCTTGGGTGATGGCAGGAACATGGGGAGCACAGCCTGAAGGCACGGTTTTTCTCCTGTGACGTGACAGATGGTCGGAATGATGGCCCACCCAATGCTGGCGAGGCCACCTCCCCTTGCCAGCCTGCTGGGAGGGGTCCTGCAGGCCGGACTGTGGACTGTGCTCTGTGGTTTGTCATGGGGTAGCAGTGCTGGGATCCTGCATACATCCCAGCACAGGGGAGAGTCTGGGGGTCTGAGGGCCTGGCTGTGTATCCCCTCTGCATCGCAGTGACTTCTGTGACCTGGGCTCTACACAGTCTTGTGAGAGGCTCTGCTGTGCACAGCGAGGGTAGGCGCGGATGCATACTGAGCTGTGACATCAGTGACAGCCACTCAGGGTCACGCACACAGTGCAGGCTGGGTCAGTGTGGGTCAAGGACAAGCATCTCAACACCACGGGCCAGGTGGGATGAAGAACGGCCCTGCATTGGTGCCCTGGGGTGATTTTGAAGGAAAGGCTGCAGGACAGCACCCTCACTCTTTCCTACCATTACTGTCTCTCCTCTCTTCCACTCTGGGATCTTCGAAGTGAAGTTCAAAGCCAAGTTTACTGAGGAAGACAGTCTCAGATGAGGAGAGAACACTGGGGGCCCCAGTGCCCTGGAGGAGCTGCCCTTCCTCCATTCTCCTTGCCACTGCCCCCTTCCCTCATACCTCCTAGCCCCTGAGAACATTTCTTAGTAGGAAGCCGAAGAGGGAAGAATAAATGCACAGAAAGAAGTGAGTTGCCTGTTATGTGAGAAGCTGTCTGCATCTGCTCAAAGCCCGTGTATGGAGGCACTGAGGGGGGCGGATCTGGGCTGGGTGAGCCATCTCTGGGCGAGTGATTTGCCTTGGGTCTTTAGGGAGTGAGAGATAGGAGGGCCAGAGGAACGGAGGCACAGGCTCGAGCCCTGGGACCTGGAGTGCTTCCTCTTTCTAGAACTCCAAGAACTTGGTTATGTCCCAAGCAGGGTCAGCCTGGAGATGTGGGAATGGATCTGCTTCCCATGTGTGTGCATGTGTGTGAGCATGTGTGCACGTGTGTGGTCACCACTCCCATCTCCAACACCTGCCTGTCGAAGCCCCTCCCGCCACACCTCATCCCGTCAGTCAGCGACTTTCCTCTTGGAGGGGGGCAGGAGGTGGGCGGGCAGCTCGTTGGGCAGCTCGTGCCCCTCCAGCTTGACTTTGATGAGGTGGTTGGCCAGGGCGAACTCCTCGTCATCCAGCATGCCGTCCTTGTCAATGTCTGCCAGCTTCCAGATCTTGCCCAGCACACTGTTGGGCAGCTTGGAGCGCACCATCTCCTTCTTCGCATTAGCGCCTGTGATCTTGCCGTCCACCGGGGACAGGGTGTAGAAGATCTCGTCGTACATGGGCTTGTCCCTGGCCACCACCCACTCCGCATCGTCGATGCCCTCCCCAGCCCCTTCCCCGTAGCCATGCCCGAAGGGGCCGTGCAGGGTGCCCTCGAACGCTCCTCCCTTCACCATCTGGACGGGCCGCTGGGTCTCCTCCTGGCGCACCAGCACCATGAGCTGGGCAATGTCGTGCGCCAGCATGTCATCCACCACCTCCAGGAGCTTGCTCTTTAGCGGCTGGAATTTGCTGAAGTCCTGGGCCTGGAGCTGGTCCTGGGGAGAGGGAGGGAGGGAGGGAGACAGTGAAGACACAGGAAGGGAGGCAGCAGCCGCATGCTGGCGGTGCGCTTCCAATAATGCCGGGACGTCCACAGCCCAGCTCCTATCCCCAGGGCTAAGTGGGTCACCTTGGAGAATCGTGGAAGACAGGAGAGAGGAACAGGAGAAAAGGCACAGTGGGCCGGGATGGAGTCTATGAGCAGTAGAAAGGTGGCAGGGACAGGGGACTTTAACAAGTACGGGTTTGGTCTCTTGTGATTGAGAGTAAACCATCGCGCTTCTCTTTATGCCAGCTCGGCTGTGGAATGGATTCTTCTTTCTCAGGCATGCGTGGTTGCTTATGGGAATTGGCTCATAAGAATATAGGATACACGTGGGGGAAGGGTGACTTGGGACCGGAGTCCGGGGGTCTCTGCTTTAATGAAGCTTGAAGACGCTTCATTATGAGTACTTTCACTGCGTCCCCTCGGTCACTGCCCCAAGGGGTTGAGAAGTCACACTCCACCCCCAGTGAGTGAGAGAAGCCGAGAGCAACTGGAATCAAACCCTACTGGCAGCCAAAGCCATCCTCACAACCTACAGATGTCCAGGAGGATGCTCATGGGAATGACCCGGAGAGAGTTCTCAGAACACTGGCTTCTCCCCTGTGCGTTTCAGCGGAGGGAGGGGCAGGAGCAGACTTTCCACGCTCCCTTCCTTGCCTCTGTGTGACGACCCACCCTCCACTCTGTATGGTTCTGTCACGTTCAAAGGCCCTAGTCTACCACAGCCAGCTTCTCCTTGGCATCTAGGGGGTGACAAGGGGAGCACTTTGTGTTCTTGCCCTGGCTCTGGCCATAGCAACCCCAGAACGCTGGGAGGAAGCCAGCACACAGGGACAGGCGTGTTGGGTTCACTGCAGAGAAATTCAGAAACACCCTCAGCTACATTTCAAGAGCGAGTGTGAACCTGGATGCTTCTCACCTCCCTCCTAGGGGCAAGGCTAGGAGGCAGTGGGGGCTGATCGTGGTCTGGGAACCCAGCAGACATGCCTCTCCCTGTGTGTTTAACCCTAGAGGCTCCCAAGTAGGGCTCCTATTGTCACCTGTGGGGGCATGGTGGGTGTGCCCATCACCCCCACCACACACACACACACACATGACAGCCGTTCACCCTGTTGATTTAGTAGAATCTACAGAGCAGACAGGACACCAGACAGGCAAACAAATGAGGAAGTGCAAAGCACTGATGCTGCACAAGGCTTCTTCATATTAAAAAGCAGGTGTGCGACCCCTTTCAGAGGCCATCTTCCCAAAGATTTGTCTACAGATCATTAAAGTCTGAACCGAAGGACAAAGAGCAGAAGTGCTCCAACCAAGCAGTTTTGAGATTGGTGCCTGGCTCCCAGTAGGCGGTTCTAGGGATGAATGACCAGGGGTACATGCCTCCTTGGGATGTGTGTGCGTGGGTCCTCTTAATTTCACTAGATGGGAAATGGCAGATGTCTCTCAGTGCCTGTGATCAGCTGAGAACCTGCTTCCCAACCTAAAGATGCAAATAACCACAAGAACAAAGTCTGTTACTCCTGCTTCTGTGGCTGTTAGCTTTTGGTTTTCCAATATTCTGATGAAAAAAAAATTAAAAATTTATTTATTTTTATTTCATTTGAGAGAGAGACAGAGAAATAGAAAAGTCTTCCACCTGCTGGTTCACTCCCCAAATGCCCACAACAGCTGGTCTCGGGCCAAAGCCAGGAGCCCAGAACTCAATCTTGGTCTCCCACGTGGGTGGTGACAACCCAAGTACTAGAGCCACCGCCTGCTGCCTGCCTCCCATAGTGTACATTAGCAGGGAGATGGAGTAAGAAACAGAGGTGGACTCAAACCAGACCCTCCAATTTGGATGCAGGCTTCCCACATGGCATCTCAGCCTCTGCACCAAGTGCCTGCCCCTTTAAAATACTTTTTTCTGAGATAATTATCGAATCACAGAAGTTGCAGAAATTATACAGAGGGTAGGGCCTTGGTGCTCACCCTCCAGTGCCCTCACTGGTGACATCACACCTGATGATGGCTATAGTGACTGAAGGGCCCTGGCTGTGGTGTAGTAGGTTCAGTCACCACCTGAGACGCCGACATCAAATGTGGGTGCTGGTTCAAATCCCGGCTGCTCCGCTTCCAATCCAGCTCCCTGCTAATGCACCTGGGAAAGTAGCAGAGCGTGGCTCAAGTCCTTGAGCCCCTGTACCCACGTCGGAGACCAGAAGAAACTCCCGGCTTCGGATTAGCCCAGCTCCAGCCGTTGTGGCCAGTTGGGGAGCGAGCCAGTGGGTGTAAGATTCTCTCTTTCTCTCTCTTACCCTGACTTTCAAATAAATAAGCAAATCTTTTAAAAAATGAAATAAAAATGAAGGGCACGGTCTGGGTGGGGCTCGACTCCGATGGCCCGGAGCTCACACCTGTGCGGGCCGGCTTTGGCAACCGGCAACCTCATTTCACAGAGGAGGCGGGTGCTGAGAGAGCCTGCAGTGGGTACGGCGTAGCGGCTTCCGGCTTGCCAGCTCCCAAGCCACCGCCCCTCATCCTGGAGCCCCTGAGCCTGCTCACCTGCATCCGCTTGAGGTTCGGGAAGTCTCCAGGCGAGATCTGATGCTCCCGCTCAATGCGGCCGTAAATCTCAGCCAGGTTGTTCACCAGCTCCTTCTTCTTGTTGTCCTTCCCGAACACCGAGGGCATCTCCTTCTTCAGGGAGCTGATGATGTAGGCGTGCACCTGGCAACAGGGCCACGCAGAGAGCCTCCCTTTAGGACCGCACCCTCCCCCTTCCTGCACGAACCCTCGCCCCTTCCTCCTCCACCTCCTCCCCCTGAGCCTGTCCCTGAAGTCCTTTCCCTCCCCAGCCTCTTGCTGCACACTGCTTGCAGAGCTGGGCCGGGCGAGTGAAGGTCAAGGCAGTGGTGGGGGTGGCAGGGCAGCCAGCACTCGCCGAGCGCTTCTTAAGGTGCCAGGTGCTGTGGCTGGGGCTTAGATGTGCCCTATCTCATGTCACCTCCAAGCACCCTTTCATTTTACAGATGTGTAGAGAGGCCCAGAGAGACTAAAACCCTGGGGCTCACACAGGCAATGAACAGTGGAGTCCAGCTCCAATCTGGCCACCTGAGCCCAGAGCCATAAGCACTGGACTCTCCTGTGTGCTGGGTGCCAGAGCTGGCATGCCTGGCTGATGCCTGTGATGCCGTGGTTACAGGACCCTGTCATCCCAGCAGCCAAGAGCCCAATCCCCAGAGGCAGCCAGCCAGGGCTCTCGCAGCAGATAACCCAGACTAGGCTCTGTCTACCTGGCCGCCCCTCAACCCCAGGCACCAGTCTCACCTTGGCCAGCCTGGCTCTCTTGATGAGGTCATTGAGCTTGCGCAGCGCAGCATTTCGGGGCAGACTCTGGATGTCCCTGAACAGGTCCTGCTCCTCAGCCTCGAAGAGCTTGCGGTTGTCGGGGATGAGCAGCGGGTGGGACCAGAAGGAGCCGATGTAGACCCGGATCACCTCGGGTGTGTTCACGATCTTGCCCAGTGACCACATGAGGGCGCCGTAGACGCGCATCAGCTGCTGCGTCTCGATCTGGTCCGCCTTGTTCAGCACCACCCGCATCTTGTCCTCATGGTTCTTGAGGGCCTTGATGACCTCCGAGAACTCGTCGGAGATGTCCAGCTTGTGGGCGTCGAAGAGCAGGATGATGCGGTCCACACGCTCGGCAAACCACTCGAGGACAGCTGCGAAGTCGTAGCCTGCCGGCACAAGCATCATCAGCCAAGATGTGGAATCAACCCAGATGCCCACCAGCTGCTGACTGGATAAAGGAAATGTGCTATACACACACTGTGGAATGCTACGCAGCCAGAAAAAAGGATAAAATCCTGTCTTTCACAACAGAACGGATACAAGTGGAGGCCATATGCTTGGTGAAATGAGCCAGTCCCCAAAAGACAAACATCATCAGTTTCCCCTGATTTGTGGTAACTGATACACAGAGTACAGAAAAATGTACACGAGCGACATGGACATTTTGAGATTTGATGACTGTTTACAGCCCATGTCTCTACTCTTGAGGAACAGTGCTTTCTTTCTACTTACTACTTATTGAAATCTTTACTTAGTGGAGGGTTAAGCTTGTGATTATAAAATTCACAGAGTATGTCATTGTAAAGATTAAAGAATAAGGAAGGAGAGAAGGTAGAGTGGGAAGCATCGCCACATGCCTAAATTTGTGTGTATGAGATACAGGAAATTTGTTCAGCTTATATAAATGAAAGCTGTTAAATGTCGAGTTGGCTGGAGCCTATGTTCCCAGCCAAGTCTCTGACTTGGTCAGGCTGGGTTGGGCATTTCTAACCAGCGCCCAGGAGGTGCTGATGCTGCTGGGCCACCTTAGGCCCTACTGGTTCTTCATCATCATCATCATCATCACCACCATAGCTAACAGCTCGTACAGCACTCATGGGGCGCCCAGCACTTCTCTCGTGACTAGGACCCTCTGAGATACACTAACATTGGCCCCATTTTTCAGATGAGCAACCAAAGCACGAGGAGGCAAGCGGTGGGCTCGGCTTGACTCTGGAGGGGGACCCAGGCCGGCACTTCATCCACACCCCCGACTGGCTCCCACAGGCGGCCGTTTCAGAGCAGGCTTCTGCTGCGGCAGGGCTTGGCGGGCACAGGAAGACCTGCTGCTGTGCCAGCATCTGTGAGGAGATCCCAACCAACAAATGGAGGCAGGAGCCTGTGGTGACTGCCAGCGTCCACACGTCTCTGCCTTCCACCCCTCCGCCTCCAGGCAGCATGTCCCCACGGGGCTTTCTCCAGGATCGGTGAGCAGCTCAAACGACTCCGGAGTCTGCGCTCCCGGCTCCTGTCAGGTGGACCCAGGAGGCCAAGAGCAGCTGAAGGATCCATGGTCCGACTCCCCAGCTTACAAAGAGGGAAACTGAGGCAGGCGAGGGCTGCAGCAGGCCCAATATCAATCCAGCAGCGCAGGAGGAACGTTCCTGCTTGGTGTGGACGCAGAGCCCGGTGCAGACCAGACTCCACCTTCTCCGCCAGGAGGCGAAGCCCAGGGGAGCGCGACTCCAGCAGGAGGACACCGGGGCTCTGTGGGTCCTGTCTCAGAGGTGGTGGGCAACCCAGCCGAGACCACCCTGCTCGTAGGCAGTAGCCAGTGGGGCACCACGACTCTTGTAGCTCCCTAAATCCAAGTTCAGTGCTTGCTCCAGCTGGGGAGCGTTCACATCATGACCTCATTTCACTCTGGCCAGCTGAGGAGGTCACTCCTTTCCAGAGAGGAAGCTGAGGCTGAGGAGGAGGAGGGGAGGGGGCAGCAGGGCTGGGGGGTGCACTGACCTGCAAGCCACTCTTCATCAGGACTCAAGCCTGCACAGCTCCCTGCCCCCACCTCCCCGCCATGGCTCTGGCCTATTTTTATCCTCCCTGCAGTACAGCTGTGGCAGAGCTGCTCCCACCTGCCAAAGGGGGAGGGCAGAAGGGGCTGGAGGGCTGGGAAAATCAGAGCCAGTTCTCCCCCTCCCCGCCCCCCCTTCCCCGCTCCCCTGCTCCAACCCCTACCCTGAAAAATAGGCCATGGCTTAGCGGCTGCACAGGTGCCCTGAGCAGCAAGCCTTGCCCTCCTCAGCAGGTGGAAAGGGCAGCACGAGGCCCCTGCACGCTGCTGATTCCCATGGATTTCAGCTGCAGCGGCGCAGGCCATGGGGAGCGGAAGAGCGGGCGGCTGCTCCCCACTCCACCTGCCGGCAAAGCTGGTTGCACAGTGGCTGCCCTATGAGCGAATGGGTACTCATCCAGGTGAGAGGGGCCCAGCCCCAGCACTGTACCCCATTCCCTGGGTTGGAGGCTCCAGCCCGGAGGACTTCATGTAAGAGGAGGCTGGGTCTGCAAAGGGCTGGGTGTGTGAGTGCAGCTCCCAGCAACCTGAACACTCCCTGTTCTGGGGGTTGGGGGCAGGGGGATGTCAGCCACTTGTCTGGGCTGCCAGTGCCTGTCCCCACCGGCTGGTGATGGTGACGGTGCCCTGGCTGGTCTGTGCACACTCACGCATGCGCCAGTTCCTCTGTGCTCATCCTGCTGGCAGGTTGGGTAGCAGGCATACTTGTGGGTTTCTTCTGTGCCTGGTGTGGTGCCTGGCACAGTGCAGGTGCAGCATTTGCTGAACAGAACCCACAGGGGAGCCCTGTTCTGTACTTCACGAATGGGAGATGGCAAACAAAGCATGTTTGGGCCTCAGTTTCCCGGTCTGTAAATTGGACACCACAGCAACTTAGCCACAGGGTTGCTGTGAGGATCAAATCAGAGAATGAAGGAGAAACTGTGTGGCTGTGACCTTGGCTGTTGACATGGCTCGTCCCCTTTATACAGAGCTCCTGAGTGCTGGCTGCAATGAGAGGGGGCATGCTGGACAGGGGTGACCAGAGGAGGAGGGGCTGAGCCCACTTCTGTGTCGGCCCAGCTACGAACTGGCTGTGTGTCCTTGGGCAAACAGCGTCCCCTCTCTGGTCCTTGGTGTCTTTGTCAAGCTGTGAGGTTGGGCTGGGCAGTCTCGGAGCGTCCTTTCGCAGCTCACAATTCTGGCTCCTGAGACGAGGTATGAGGTTGGGGAGTGCGGCAGGATGGACGGTGACGAGATGCCGGGAAGCTTCCGCGGGCACAGGGGGACAAGAAGGCTGCAGGCTACTGTCTTCATTAAGACGCCTCGGGACGCGCATGTGATGTCCGCGCCTGCCTGGGGCAGACAGGTGGCTGCTCGGAACCCTCGCTGTGATTTTACAAGCACCCCTCACCCCCCCCTTTTGCAAACGCTGTACACTCCGGCAAGCTGCTTTCAAATGACAGCCGTAGCCATGCCGGGGCTTTCTGCCCGGGTGAGGCTGTGAGGCCGTGGGAATCAAGCCGTGTCTCCCTGGGGCCCTCTGAAGCACAGCCTCCTTGTTCCTGGCTAAGCCAGAGAGGGTGGGGCCTTCAGAATGGAGCTCTGCTGTTTCCCTGAGCTGGGCTGAAGTGCATATCCAGGAATGGGCACAGATTGGACCCAGGAAGGAAAAGCGCTGTCCCATTAATTTTTCTGGGCAAGCCTGAACCTCAGCTTTCCCAGCTATAAAATGGGGGCAGGAATGACTGTAGGACAGGTCCTTGGGGAGCCATGGCAACAGGATGGGGCAGCAGAGGGAGGGCTGCACTCAGCCTGCAGACTTTGCCCCCCATGCAAGGTGACCTGAGAGCCCAGGCCAGGGCCCCTGCTCTCCCTGGCTGCAAGAACAGACCTGAGACCCATGATGGTAGCTCAGGAGCACCTGCGGCAGCCCAGGACGCACGGACATGGACTGGGGGCAGAGTGCAGAGTGCAGAGGCTGCGCTTCCTGGAATTCCTTCCGGCAAGTTTGCTGGGCTGTGAGATCAGGGGACAGACGGGGACAGACGCCAGCCGGAGCCTGTGCAGCCTGCAGCTCCGGGGCACTGGAAAGAAAGCGTCTCTGAGTAGCGGCCAGCAGAGGAAGTCAATGAGACAAATGCAGTCAGCAAGGCGACTCCTCCAGCACCGGCCAGCTGCCTTGCTCTGTGTTTTCAGCTGTGTGACCACATGGGATCCGGGTCACTCGGCATGGGCCGGGGGGGTGGACAGGGCAAACACCTCATACAGAGCAAGGATAGGGCACACAGGTGAAGGGGCTTACCAAGATCACACAGCCAGGCGGAGGCCAACTCAGATCCTGGCCTCCCACCCTCTTCTTAGCTGAGAGCTGAATGCAAGCAGAGCTCAGGGGCCTGAGCCCTCAACCCGGGTACTCCCCTCGGTGGCTACCAAAGTGCCATCTCTCTCAAAAACTCTTTGTTGAGATTTAAGGACATCTTCGCCAGAGAGGGCAAGGCATCGCTTTCCAAAACGGGAGCTGACCATGGGAACAGATGCTACCCCAGATGCCTCCTCCTGGAAGCTACTGAGGCGTGATCGGGCAGACTGGTCCTTTCCAGGGGTGTTGGCCTCAGTGCCCATGCGGGTGTATATGGGCAGCTGCAGGCCCAGCTCCAGTGCAGGTGCCAGGGACAAGAGAGGGGTGGGGGGCTGTGAGCATTAGCACAGACCCTCCAAGGTCTGGGCCCTGGAGACCCCCAGGGGAAGCGTGTAGGTTTGCCTTCTTTCCTGCTGCCTGGGTTCTTCCTGAGCATTCCTTCCCGCTGCAGCTCTGGGCCCTGGGCAAGACTCCTGTCAGGAAGGAAGGGGTCCATGGGGAGGAGCCCCCAGTGGTGCACCTGGGCCGTGAGCACAGAGCCCTGGCTAGGGGGACTTTTCTAGGGGTGCCAATGGGGCTTTCAGGCTGAGAAGCAGCCAGGAAATGCAGTTCCCAGGCGTGAGGATGCGCGGCTTCCCGGAGCCCACCCACTTCTGCCGCATCCTTGCTTCTTCCCAGTAATGAGCCTGGCCTGGCACGGCACATCCTGCCGCTTCCAGAAACTGCCTCCTTCCTGCCTCTCCTGCCCACCCCGCGCACCTTCATCCAGAGACAAGGGCTGGTCTGGAACGGCCCACACTCTGCTCCTCAGGTGCCCCTGGCTTCACCCCACAAGACACTCCCAAATCCCAGGCCCCTGTAGAGGAGCCACACCCACACTCTCGGCTGGGCCCTGGCCTTGGGAGTAGCTCGTTCTCCCGGAGGGGAAGTCCAGGGTGGTTGTGGATGCCCCTGACACCAGTGCCCCCTTTTTCCTGGTGAGTCAGCTCCGGGCCAGGCAGGAGGCTGGGTGAGAACATGGCTGGGTTTCAGGCTTGCTCGCAGGCCCTCACGCTGGACACAGTCTGCAGCCCCATCCATGGGTGCCTGGCCTGCCCTGCTCTGGCTGGAGGGAAGGAAGAAGAGGGAAATTGGCTCTGTGGCCAAACCCAGGCATCCAAGAGCCTAGACTAGAAGCCACGACAGAGCGCGCTCCACTCTGCATGCATGCTTGCCTGTGCGTGTGTGCACGTGTGCGTGCAGGAGGGGCTATGTGGGAGCGTTTAACCTGACAGTCCAGGTCCTACAGTGGACTGAGAGGATGGAGAAGAGATTTGCTCAAAGGGAACTTGTCTGGTCTGGGGACTCCTGGTAACTGACGGGGTCTGATGTCTCCCACTGACTTTCCTGGCTCTCCAGGGTGCTGAGACCAGCACTGCCCCAAGCTGGTCATGCAGTGCGGGTGGCCCAGCCCTCAGCTTGTTTGTGTCACAGGCTGCTTTTGCCAACAGCAGCATTTATGAATAGTCTGGACTCGAGAGGGCAGAGGACACACTGGCCTGCACAGCGCTCACTGGGCTATCACTTCTCCCAGGGATGGGTGGGACCGGTACTTGGTCAGTGTGGGTAGCATACCAACCACCCAGTTTGTGTAGGGAAGTCACTACTGGGGTCCAAAGACAAAGGCAGGAGAGAAGGAGGAGGAATGGGAAAATGAACTGGCAGTGGAGCTGAGGAAGGCAGGAGTCACTGGAGTCAGGGCTGCCACATACAGGTGCACAGGCTGTGCACTGTGCAAGTGCAGAGTCCACTTGTATAGATTACTCTGGGGTTGGATAATGGGTGGCCACGGCTGGAATGTAAGTGGGGGAGGAGAGAGCTCCCCGCGACGCAGACCCAGAGCTGAGATCTGTGTTTGCGTTATGGTCTATAGACCTCCAAAGGGGGCTCCGTGGTGCCTCACCCCTGGCTGCACACGGGGACCCTGAGGCTCAGGGGGAATGTGATCTGTTGAGCCTCACGCAGGTTTTAAAGCCTAGAACTCCAAACCCCTGCTCAGGTTGCACGGCTTTGTGGGTGCGCAGGCACCACCCCCTGCTCCTGGCCCTCCAGGTAGTGTGGCCTGGGGGGTGTTGGCTCTTGCAAGCTTCTCTTGAGGGGACCATGCTGAGCCGTCCCAGGTGGGACAAGGCATCCCCTGTATGCCTCAGCTCAGGGGGAGCCAGAAGAACCACGTGAGGCTGGGGCTGGGGCTGCCTGGGACAAACGGACGAGACTGAGAACCACCCAGATGGTGTCCACAGGGGCAGGGCCCAAGTGCTTCCCAGGGACAGTGGGCAGGAGGGAGCATGGGACGCCCCTCTCCTCCCTGGCCCAGGCTTCTCTAGCTTTAGACCGGTTCCCTTCGCCTTCAGCACCCAGCCTAGTGCCAGGCTCCCTGGACCCTTGCAGGGGGACACTGTGACCTCCAGGGCACACGGCCAGCCAATCACAGGAGCTGTGAACAGTTTCCCTAGTGCTCTCCCGGCTCTGCTGCTTCCTCCCCAGGCTTTCCCTCCTTGGGGTGGGGGCAACAGGGCTTCCCTGCACAGATTCTCAGCCTTCTCACCCTGCACCTGCCCCAGGGCAGAGACTCCAGGCCGAGGGTCCCTTAAGAACTGGCTGGGGAAACCTGCCAGCGCAGGCTTTGTCCACCTGCGCATCACATGGGATACCCCCAAAGAGCCCCACCTGGGCCTGTCCCCCACCACCTGCCCTGGTAGGAAGAGAGCCCCTGGCCTCAGAGGGGAAGCCAGGGCTGCCCGCAGGAGCTCTGGCCTAATTCCAGCTTGGGCACCAGCAGCCGGCTCCCAGCCAGGGGCTCGTGCCACTCGGGGCTCCTGGTACACAGCTGAGAGGCACTTGCCTGTTGCCCTGGGAATCTCTCCCAAGGGAATGGGGCGGCGGGTGCTGGCTGGGGAGGCCAGGCCCATGGGGATGGGGTTTCTGGGCCCCTTGCTGTGACGCCACAGCCATAGGCAGCACAGACCTGCACTTGCCGGGGCAGGAGACACACAGCAGAGGGCTGAGGCCCACACTGCCGGGAAGCAGTCTCGGCCGTTTCCCAGAGAAGGCCGGCGGCCCCAGCCTCCCTTCCCGGAGGCCGACCTCCAGGGGCCAGACTGGCTTGGCTGGAGTCCCAGCTCCCGGCACCAACACTGGCGGGGGAGGGGTCTGGCTTCATCTGATTTTTTTTCTTTTTGCCAGAGCTACAATATGCAGGACAGAGAGGGTGGGGGGCTAGCCAGGGCTCACAGCAAATTGTGGCAGGAGAGAGGCTGGGGTTGGGGGTGTGGAGCAGGTGTCTGTAGCTTTTTACAGCATCAGTCTGGTCTTGTAGGGGCCAGGAAAACCAAGGGAGAGCAGGATGAGGATGATCTGAGATTCTTCATGATGGGACATCTACTACGTGCAGGACCACTGGCAGCTTTACTTATATGTTTTCTTTTAGCCCTCAAACACCCCGGTAAGATGGGTAACACCATCTCCCCACTCTACAGATAACTAGCTGACATACAGAGATACCTGCCCAGGCTCACTTGGCTCAGAAGCGACAAGTCTGGCCCCAGAGTTCTGTCCCTGCTGGGAGACCTTGCTGAGTGAGCAGTGACACTCCGTGTGTCTGCAGTGAGCGGGTTCAGGGTGCTCCCACATGCCCCATCCTCCTCCCCTAGGAACCGAGCATGAGGCCACCTCTGCACGTACCCACTCCCTTGGGTTGCACGGTCCCAGGACAGGGACTGCAGGGACTTGAGAAGGACGTCAGGGTCTGGCCCACGGCAGGCTCCCTTTAGAGAATGAGGAAACTCACTGAGGTCAGTGACATCTCCATTATACAGATGAGAAGACTGAGGTTGGCTGTCTGTCGAGCTACATGGTTCCTGAAATCACCCAGGGGCGCTTGCCTGGCAGCGCCCTGCATAGCATGCAAGGTGTGGCAGCTCATCGAGGGACAGCAGGGCCCAGGGGCTTCCCTTCTGGGATGCAAGTGTGAAGACACTGGAACCTCCCGTGGAGTTGGAGTCCAGGGCTGGCACGCCGCCTGGCTTACCTCGGCTGATCCTCTGCTTCTCCCCGGACAGGATCCCCGGCGTGTCGATGACGCTGATGCTCTCCAGCACGGGATTGGGCAGCTGGGCACACACGAACCTGCACAGGCCAGAGGAACGCTGCTGTGAGCCTGGGGTCCCGGGGAGCTGATGCTCCCTGTAGAGTGACTGTGCGCCCTGCATGTGGCCTCGTCTGTCGGTGGGGCAGCATCTGACACTCCCTGATGCCCATGGGCAGGAATCAGCAGCTGGGCAGCCGGGGACACGGACTCCCAGGTGTGCCAGAGCAGACTGAGAGCCCTGGCGGTGGCCTCGGCATCTGTGCTCCAAGGAAGCCCCTGGGGCGAGGCCGAGGCAGCTGTGGTTTGTGCCCTACTGTTGGGGACGGTGGGATAGCCAGACCTCAGTCCCTGCCCCCACAGAGCACAGCCTGCCCCGAGATGAGATGAGGGGCAATGGGACCTGCGCCCCAGGGGAAGTCAGTGAAGGGTGTGGAAGATCCAAGGCAGACAAATCGCTCCTGGGGAGGACTTCCTGGAGGAGGCAGCATTGGCAATGGTCTTGAAAAACAAGCCACACCAGGAGGGACGGTTATTCAGGCATCTCTGCAGCTCTGTGAATGCCAAGCACAGCTCTTGTGGTGGCAGTCAGCCTCATTCAGGAGTGGCGGGGGCAGGGCTCTGAAATGGGACCGCCCAGCAGCACGCAGACGGGAAGCCAGAAGCCCTGCGATGCCCTAGTGCAGGCTGCAGCGAAGCTGGTGGCTGATGGCAGAGGCCCCCTGCCCCCACCCCTGCAGTCCTCCTAGCGCACATGCCTGGCAGACTCCAGTCCAGCTAAACCTTCAGGTTCTCAGCGGTGAGTGCTCCCCGGGGCTCGTGCGCCGAGTGCATCCTCCCGTTTCCTCCCTTCCTCCGGTTTATCTGTAGGGGATGCCCCCTTGCACCCTTTCAGCGTCGTCATGCTCATCAGCGTCTGCTTGGCCACAAAGGCCTCGCCAGCCCCCGTGCCTCTGGCCAGTGCTGTCGCCGCATGCTGGAGTCAGCCTCACCCTTCCCCCACCCCCCGCCACTGCTGCTAGAACTGGGGCTTGGTGTGTCTGTTGCCAGAGGAGCTGAACTCTACCTTAGCAAGGCCCTGGGAGGGAGAGCGCCCCCAGCGTTCTACACAGCCACATTCCTTTCCTCTAGGCTGATGGCAGGGTCAGGCGCAGGATCTCCCCGGAGTTGGTTTCCCCCTGCTACACATTCATTCACGGAGATCACAGACTTAATCAGGGATCCCAGACCCCATAACGGCAGCACTGCCCAAGTGTCCCTTATTCTTTTCCCGACACCTTCATACTTGTTGTCTTTATAAATTATTTTTGGGAAAAGAAATGCACATGGTAAACGCTCAACAGTTCTGGAAGGTCTCCCTCCCTCTTTCCCTCCCCCCTCCCCAGTTCCACGCTCTGCACACAACCGCCATCAACAGTCCAGGTCGCCACACTGCACATTTCTTTTCCTTTCTCTCAGATTTTCCTTACCCACCTGCAGGAATAGATAGGGTGCAAAGGACTTGCAGTTTGCATTTTCATCCTTTGATTGACAAAGATGATGATCCATGTGGTGGATATTTTACCCCACATAGACCACCCAGATCCCACCCCCACACTCGGCCCCGGGCTCTCAGGAGCGCACCAGCCTGGGATGGCCACGCCGTGACTTCTGATGCCAGGGCAGACTACATACCACCACGTCTGACCCCACAGGCTATCATCGCTACAGGCATGGCTGTCCCCAAGTGGGGTTAACCACTAACCCTGTGTCCTCTCTTCCAATGAGGCCAGTTACCCCTGTGTGCCCCGGCTGTCCTCTCCTCTCCTCTGCTCACCCCTCTCATCCTCTGCCAGGGTGGTCAGCCACGCCAGGCTCTCCTGCATTTCACATCCTGGTGTCACAACCTCCTCACTGCCCCTCCACGCTGCTGCCACCTTCGTGCCCTGACACTGAGCTCACAGCTTCCTTCCCTCCTTAACCCAAGCCGGACTCTACCTGCCAGGCCATTTTCTCAGTTCCCCGTCCCCCGCGTCCCTCCTGTGGGAGCACTCCCCCTGCCTGTTTGCAATGCCACATTTTAATCACATGGTCCCCTCCCTGCCCCAGTCTCAGAGTTATCAGGGACTCCTGTCATCTCTGGAAAGGTCAGGGTCAAGTTCAGAGTTTCATAAAAATACTGCTCAGGAGAAGAGACGTCAGGGATCTACTGGGCCATGAGCCTCAACTTGCACAGCTGGAAAATGGCCCAGTGGACGGCTGCTTCACAGGCAAGAAGACGTGGCCATGGCATTGCTATGCTCTGACCCTTCTTGCTTGTTTCCACGTGCCAGGTGCTTAGTGCGTTATCTCCTTCACCCCTTGCAAGAAGGTCTCATGGTTATCTACCTTACAACAGAAAAGTTTGGTAACTTGCTCAAGATCAATGAGACTAGGCAGGATCTGGACTTAGGCCAAAGCCAATATTCTTTATCCATTTACAAAATTAGTTGCAAGCAGGGAGAGACAGAGCTCCCATCTACTGTTTCCCAAATGCCCACAACAGCCAGGTGTGGGCCAAAGCCAGGCGCCAGGATCCAGGAAGTCAATCCAGGTCTCCCGTGGGGGCGGCAGGGACCCAATACCACTGGAGCCAGTACTGCTGCTTGCCAGGCTCTGCATTAGCAGGGAGTGGCTGGAGTCAGCAGCCGGGGTACAGAACCCAGGTACCCCCACTACGTGACACGAGCATCTAAACTAACCGGCTAAACACCCACCACCAAATTCTTCTGTACTCTATCTCCACTCAGAAAAGGCAGTTTTAAGAGTGCCAAGTGCAATGCACATGTAAAATTAGATTTATAAGAAAAACAAGCGCAATGAGGATCTGCCAAACAATAACTCAGTGGCCCAGTGAGCTTGCCAAGCACTCCCTCACACTGTGCAAGTCCTCACAATCTTGGTGTCTGTTGGCCTGAACTTGTCCCGGGCGGGGGAGGTGTCCTGTGGAAGGTTGCACAGTAGGAGACTCAGCGCTCAAACCCAAAGCTTCCCCTGCAAGTCCAGGGCTCTGTGCACCAAAGAATATCCAGGAACAGGGGAGAAATCCCAGGCATTATTCGGGCAAGCGTGGGGAACTCTGCCGAGAGCAGCTTTCCTGGGAGGCGGTGGAGATTGGGGGACTGGGGTCTAAGTCACTGTTGATCCCTTTCTGCTTCCCGGTCAGTAGGGATCGGCCCAGCGATGGCAGCTCCCACATCTCCCAGTGGCGACTGACTCAGCCAGCAAGGGACACCCAGGAGACTCCAGGTACGGAAAAGGCCCTGCCCCTGGCCCTCACTTGCCAAACTCCTAGGAGCAGCGAACAGCACACCCCTGCCACACTCACCTGTTCAGGAAGGCGTTGCCGAAGGCGTTGAGTTTCCGGAAGGGTTTCTTGGGGTCCACCACCAGGGCGTTGCCCGGGATGATGCCCTCCACATCGCCCTGCATCACCGCGATGAAGGAGTCAGTGGTCGGCTCGGGACCGATCCTCATGCCGGGGAAATCCTGTTCCAGCAGGTACCTGGATGAAGGGAACACACTCCTAAGGCAGGGACTGTGCTGGGAGACAGCGTGTGGACAACTAGGGAGGCCTGGGAGAGGGCCAGCTCTGAGGAACTGGGCCGGGGAGGTGGGACTTCAGTCACTTCAAGCACCCCGCTGGTCCTTTGGCTTTCCCATGCCTCAGTCAGCGGTGTGGGGAGGGGGAGCGGGACCTGCTGAAGAGCCTGCACCAAGGCACAGCCAGAATCAGACCACCCACAGACTGCTGGCTTGGCACAGGCCATTCTTCAGTCAGCTGGTTATTAAACATAAAAATCAAACTGTACATGATACAACACGCAAACAGTGTCAGGGGAACATTGGGAAAAGTGAATCTGCATCCTGCCCTAGACTTTGGGTATCTGTGCTTTGTATCGCAGATCCTTCTAGGAGTATTCTAGGCACACACGTACTGTGTGTTACCTGTTCACACACAGCCACGCACAGGATCTTAGAGCCCAATATGCTAAGCACCATTGCTTGCTGCACAGCTCTCCCCCTCTCCCCTGCTCCTGTCGTTACCCATTTAATTCAAACTTCCCAAGCCAAGATGATATTCAAGACGCACTACAGCACCTGGCACAAAATCGATACTCAATAAACGAGTTCCCTGCCTTTAGCCTTTGGGAACCAGGCAATTGCGATATACAGCGGTAGGATGTGGCAGGACGCGTTGGCAGGGATGATATTTCTGGTTTGGTTTCAATCTGTTTTCTTACCTGCACCCTCTAACCTAGAGAGGTGTCAAAGTGCCCTTGTAACTGCTGATGCTTTCTGACTGCACCCAGCGCCCCCCACCCCATACAACCGCCTGTTCCCTGGGCATGCACAGCTCGCAACCACAGAGGATGCCGTGTGCTACATGGCCAGGGGTTACAGATCCTGCGGTCATTCTGTGATAATGCCATGTGCACGCATCCTTTTCTGCATACAGTGTTTTGGAGGTAGCAGCATAAGTCTGGTTTTTTCCTCTTCAGGACAAGGTGGAGTTCTGGTATATGGATTCTTAGGAGCCATTGCTGGGAGAAATTTTACGGGTAAAATTAGAGCGGCTTCCATGGGCTGGAAGGAAGAAGGCCAGGGGAGCAGGTTGTATGCAAGATCTCAGCCGAGAGGTGAAGCAGTGCATGAGGGCTTGGTTATTTTCATGATGTGGTTTTTATGGGTGGGACGTCCAAGGTCTAGTCCCACTTGCTGTCTGTGGGGCATCAGGCTGTCTCTCCCTTCCCAGGGCCTCTGCTCTTCATAGGGGTCTGGACAAGGTGGTCCCTAGGGGACCTTCTGTTCCACCAGTCTGTGTTCTTTGCCCTGCTGCACATGGGACCCATCCCGCCCAGGCTGTAGCACATCCACGCTGCTCCAGCCCCTGTTATGGGCACTCTGGAGAAGGCAGGCAGCCTTTTGGGGGGCAGATTGAGCCCCAAACTTCTGGCTATGGCTGTGGTGGGAGGGCTCTCTCCATCCTCTTTTCTTGGCCTGGGCAGTGTGAGCCCAAGGTCACCCGCCTGTCTCCACTCCTCTGGAATCCAAGGGCAAGGGCACAGAGAAACAAGGGGATGGCCTCTAAGGACCTCTGAGCCCCTTGGGAGCTCAGCACAACTTTGAGCCCAAACAGCAGGAGGCCAGGCTGCAGGGGAGGGGGCCCAGTACTGCCTTGGGTTGTGAGCAGCCTATGCAGAGTCCCGCGGGAGTGCTCTAAGAGCAGGATGGGTGAGCCCTAAGGGCTGCTGCCCATGAACCACAGCCTCATGGGTGAACCCTGCCAGGCCTGGGGGCCTCTCGCAGGACAAGAGCTGTTAAGCTGGGAAAGGAGCTCCGAACTGCCCTGTCCTGGGGCCTTTGCCCTTGCTCCACTGGCAGGCTCCCTCTGAGCCTCAGCTGACGGTGCCAGGGCCCCACCCCTCAGCTGACGGTGCCAGGGACTGATTCACACGTGCAGCCAGGGCTCAGAACTGCTCCCGACCAGCCTTAGCTTTACTGCGAGCCCCCCGACACTCACTGCATTTCCACACTCCATACATTGTTCTAAATACCCTGGCAGCATTCTCTCCTCTGGGGGAAACTGAGGCATAGGAGGGCGATTTACTGTCTCCAAGTTCAACAGTAGTAGTGTAGCTGGAACCCAAATCCTGCACCCTGCAGCTTTCCTGAGGAAATCGCTGCCCAGGCAGCCGGTCAGTGTCCCGGAGCGGTCAGAGCAGAGCTGGCCCACAAACCCAGGAAGGGCTCAGCTTTATGCGTAATCTCAGCACGCGGGGTCACAGCTCAGCCTCAGCACCTGGGGTGCTGCTATCAGGTGGCCAGCTGGGGCCAGGGGCCAGGGCTCGGGGCTCCAACCTGAGAGCTCTCTGCCAATCCCAGGCCTTCCCAGGGTGGGTCAGCACCAGGGAGGCTCTCGGGGTCCCTGGTTCATGGACATCCCACCCATGCCCGACGGAAACATCAGGAGCTGCTGACTGCAACTCCAGGGGCAATTAAGCTAGGTTGCTATGGGCTCCCTCCCCAGGGAGCTGGCGGAAGAGCACCGAGCACGGTGGCCCAGGAGGCCACCCCCCCCCCACCACCACCACCACACGTGGCCGCAGGGGCTTCTCGGCTGCCTTGGGGAAGGCCCTTGTCTTTCCAGGGAAGGCAGGATTCCCTCGGGTCACATGGTGGTTTTGAAGGCTGGCACTGCAGTCGGGATGAGAAGAAACCCCAACAGCTGCACACCCGGGCTGCACTTCTTGCTTTCGCGGGTGCCCGCTCCTTTGGGGCCTGGTGAGGAGGCGGGGATTCTGGTTTCTCTACTCCTATGCCCTTAGGAAAGCACTCACCTGATGCTTAGCCCCTCCCTCCAGGGCAGGGGGTGACAGTGCGGACCTAGGCAGCTCCTGTGATGTGCCAGGCACTGTTCTAACTTTCCCAGAGAGCCTCGTACGTCAGTGTCACACCTACTCTATGTGAGCCCTCTACGCCTCCCCACGGGGTGTGCTGAGGTCTCATCAACCCCACTGTAACACTTGGCGCCCGAGCTAGCGTCTCATTGTTAGGGGGAGGAGTTAAAGAGCCAGTCCCAGGTGACGCACCAGTAATTACAGCCAGGAGTGAACCGGCTCTTGGAGGCGAGGATGCATGCTCCTGGCCTGCTAACACTCGGTCTCCCACTCGGCCTCAGATCTCACCGTGGCCGGCTCTAAGGGCTGAGTCCCCCACCCCACCCTGGAATTAGAAGGAGGGGCGGGATAAGAAAAGCCGGGAAGGGACAGTTTGGCAGGAGGCTGACTGGGCAAGCCGTGAGGTGCTGGGACCCACAGCCCAGCAATATCCTCCTCTCTGTAAATATCCATGCTGGGATGCACAGCGCAGTGTCTGGGGTGTGGGAGGCAAAATCTGAAGCTGACCAAAGCAGGACCCAGGCTTGTGAGCTTGAAAAGGGTCTTTTAGAGGAGGGCCAGGTTCCTCATGCAAACCAGGGCTGTGATCTGGGAGGGACTGCTTGGAGGAGAAGCCCTAAGCAGGGCCTGGCAGAGGCCTCGCTGGGCACAGCTGAAATAGAAAGGGGTGGAAAGAACCACTGGGAGGCAGCCTCCAAGATGCTCAGAACCAACAGGGCCAAAGAGCAGGGACGAGTGGCTTCTTCATGGACTTGTCTCACATCCTGTCCCCGTGGGAGGTGTGGTGCACTGCGCAGGTGAACAGAGGGGGACCCACTGCTTCCTGGGGGAGTTACAGAGCCCTGGGCTGGGCCTGTTGTTTGCCTCAACTCCCAGGACCCCATGCTTGCCACCTACATGTGGGGCCCCAGAAACCTGGCCAGGGGGCAAGTGGGGCTGAGCAGAGGGCCTGAGGCTGGGTAAATTCTCAGGGACATTTGGGTATGGCTTGCAGCACTGGGTGCCCGTAACACAAAGACACCACTGTGTCCCAGAAGGGAAATCTATTGAGGAATCTCACGCCTGGCTGCTCTATGGGCAGCCATACAGACGGGCTTCTGTTGTGGGTGCAAGCATTCCCACAGCAGGCTGAAAAAGAAAAGTTAATTCCGGCCTAGGTGGGAACAGCTGGGAGGGGGCCGCCCAAGAGCAAGGAGGGGCAGGAGCCTGCTGTGTCCCGGGGGCAGTTCCAGGCCCTCCCCTTGGGTCTTTCCAGGTCACGGAGCCTCCCAGTTCTATGGGATGGCAGCAACACTGCAGTGTGAAGTTGAGTAAATGCGAGTAGGGGCTACCCAAGTTCAGGGCCAACTTAAAATGCGAAGCGGTCCTAAGAGTTGAAAAGACTCACCCCCACCCCCCACCCCCTTGCCATCCAGTGTAAACTTAGCAAATGCTAACCCCTGAGCAAGTGCAGGGAAGTCCAAAGCACTATGTTTCTTCATGTTTTCTGAAGGAAAGGATTTCGGAACATTTCACTCATTTTTCTGTGCCCTGCTTGGCTGGCAGGCTAAGCACGTGGTCCGCTTTCCTGGTGATCTAAGTACTCAGGGTAAGGCCTCGGAGCCAAGAATCTGAACCCAGTCTGCCCTCCAAGGACTCATGTCTGCAACACTGGGGCCCAGCCCAGGGGCTCAGGAACCCTGCCCAGGGGCTCAAGAACCCTGCCGCTGGAGGCTTGGGGCTGGGGCAGGTGGCTCAGCTCAATGGAAGAGCTGGTGGGTAGTGATCCCATTGCCGGTATGACTGTGCACAAGTCATCCAATGGCCTCAGTCGTCTGCTTTATGAAATGGGAACAGGACTTGGCTTCAGATGACCTCAGAAAGTGGGAGTCTGGGACACCACACGAGCGTTTCCAAAAAGCAAGGGCTACACTGGATATTTGCCCATTTTTGGCACAGACAATAATTAGAGGAAATGAACAGCCTGGCATTGCCTGTCCCCAGATCTGGTTCAGGCACCTCCTCCCTGAAGGCTCCCTGATTTATTCCTACCTTACCCCCAAAGCTGACTGTGCCTCTCTTCCCTGCAAGTCTCATACCTCTGAATCCATATACCTTTTAGATACACTCCCAAAGTATGTAGCACTTTCCACAGGAATTCACTGTCTGTATCTGCATAGTAGCTAAATTGGTCCTTAAGCCAGAGTTCTTAGCTTTAAGCCCAAGGTCAGGAAATTAATCCTTGCTCTGCTGACCACGCAGGGTTTTGGGGAGGCCGTGAAGCGTCCCCGCAGACAGAGCGAGGCAGTGAGTAGGAAACTCTGAACAGCCAAGTTGAGGTAGAGCAGAGTCTATCAGGCGATCCCAGCATGCAGGAGAATGCAGGGGCCAGGCTGCCCAGCCTCCTGATAGCCTCCCCTGGCCTGACCACACCTTGGGAGAGTCCAGCCTGCCCAGGACACCATGTGGCTCTGTCCACAGAGCTCGGCCTCACGTCCCTCCTCCAGCCCTGGGAGGTGTGGAGACGAGAACGTCCCTCTCCCTCATCCCAACCACGCAGAGCTGGACCAGGCTGCCTCCCACCTGCTGGAGGTCAGACTCAAGCTAGAAAGAGGGAAGTAGAGGAGGACGACCCCATGCAGGGTCCTAGAACATGACTGCTGTCCCCGCATCACCCCATGGGTGATACAGATAGGGAACCGGGGCACAGAAGGGCTGGGTGGCATGACCTCAGGTCACCTTCCTAACCCGAATCCATGGCTTGGAAGTGGTGGCGCCTGGGTTCTGATGAATTAGCCCGGGTGCCGTGGCCCTGGTTCCACTGCCATGGCCTTGGACAGAAGTCATTTTTCCTCCCAACATGTGCAAAACCTCATAACTTCCACACACCTGACTTTTAAGGCAGCTCCTGAGCCAGGCCTGGGGCAGGCAGACACGGGGCCTCTGGCCCAGGGGTGGCTCCTCCCTCTGGAAATCCAGCCCCACAGAGCAGGCAGAGCAGAGCCCTGGCAAGAACTGGGCAGCCACTGACCTCAGAGGCTGCAGAGAGACAGGGGTGTTGCCGGGAACGTGGCTGGCAGCAAGCAGTTGGCAGAGGCCCGTGTTCTCTCTGCAACAGCGGCCTGGTTCTCGAATCCTCTGGCTTCCCAGAGGCACCCCCTTCCTCACAGCGGGGAGGCCTGAGTGATGCCGAGAGACAGGGCAGCCACGAGCAAATGCCCTGACACTTTTGAGCCAGGCCAGAACACAAAGTGTTCCCCGAGTGAGGGGAGGCCAAGAGGGCCAGCAGAGTGGTCCTCACAGCCCATAGGGAGCTGGACCTCAGCGTCCAAGCCCCCACCAGAGAAAGCCCCAGGGACCTGCCCAGCCACATTCAACCCCCCTAGGCCCATCCTTGGGCTGTGGTCTGGTTGTGCCTCCCGTACTCAGCCCCTAGAGCAGCTGGTGATCCCTTGCTCCCCGCAGAGGAGAGGAGGGCCCTGGGCAGGGAAGCACTGGGGGCTGTGTGCCAGCACGAGAAACAGCAAGGGAGAGCAAGGGCGGAGGCAGGAGGGACAGTGCGCTACTGTACTGCAAAGAGCCGCTCTGTGTGGCAGGGAGCAGCCACGAGCCCATTTACTGTTTATTTGATTACTCAGGGTTGCCGGGCCTTAAGCCAGGGAAGTTATTTCAGGCAGAGATCAGAGCGCATTAATTAGTCATTAGAAGAATGTCCTTTTCTGTGTGTTCTTCCTGAGACGAGAAATGGTCCCCGTGGCGGGCACACAAAACTGCCAGTGGATGGGCACTCAGGAGGCACAGCGCCAGGTGCCGGGGGACCGAGGGCCAAGGCTGTGCTTTCAGAAGTCGAGGTCTGGGACCCAGAGCAGATGAGCCGAGCAACGATGGAGGATGGAGGCAGGGCAGGAGCAGGGCGGGAGCTGGGGCACTCGCCCCCCCCCCCCCAAGCTGCCTTCACTTGGGGCACCCTCTTGGAAAGCAGCTGCGAAATAAGACTCTTAGACAAAAGTTTGGAAATCAAGAATTGGAGCACAGAAACAGTGCCGTACAACCTTTGGCCTGACAGTTCTGCCTCTGGGACCTGCTGAGTCCCCTTGTGGCCTGAGTGGCTCGGTGCTGTGACACTGGCCAAAAAATAAACCATGACCAACAATCTTAAACATTCTAAAGTAGCTGGTTAAATGAATAATCTCACGTACACACACACACACACAGAGCTGCTTCAAAAGCCCATAAGAGAATCAAGAGATAAATTTTATTTGGGGGCAAAATGTTTAGAAATCCATGAATCTTTTTCTAATATGCGTTTCTCGTGACCTTCCAAAGCCCCTGTGCATATGCAGGGAGCTCTTCTGTAGCTGTTAAAAAATCATGCTTATGTGAAAAATACCCATGCTACAAACTTAAAAAAAAAATCCAGCATCTGAAATTATACAAATGGCATGATCTCAGCTGTGTTATAAAAGAGCTAACATTGCTAGAAAGATAAATATATAATATTTCAAATGTTTTCCCTCTGAGTCATAGGATTATGGATGATTTTTTTTTCTTTTTTCAAATTCATTCTTTTCCACAATTAAAAAAAATACTGTTTATTGGATTTACCGAGAGGGAAGAAAAACATGTAATTTGGTTTGGGAGGGGTCCCTGGGTGCAGCCCTCCTAGCCGTGCTGGCTGAGTCTTGAGGGGAAAGAGATCTTGACGCTTAGCAAAATCAGCAAGGAACCTGAGCGGGCAGGGAGCAGTCTTGTACTCGGAGGATAAGAACGCTTTGGGATCTGCCTCTGCCGGCCTTCCTGCCTCCCTCAGATAAGGAAGAACCTATGGCCATTCGCCTCTGCCACTTTCTGAGACTAGGGACCAGCCAGCAGGGACGCAGACAAAGCCAGGGCAGTGGCTCTTGCAGAATGCACTGAAACCTGTCTGCTGTGCAGGGATCCTGTCCCTAGGGACACTCGCCTGTCCTGTCCTCCCCTCCAGTCTGCAATATGACTGTCGGGAAGCTGCTGGAGGTGAGGCCCCAGATGCTGCCTGTAAGTGCCTGTGCTCTGGGCAGGAGACGCTCCCGACAGTGAGCTCAGAGTTACAACCAAGCTACGAGCAGATAGCCGGGGAGGCCAGGCAAGGTCAGGAGCCATCGGCAAATGGTCTGCGCTTCCTGTGAGGCACAGACCACAGCAGGCAAGGGCAGAGGCCACAAAGGAAACTCGGAAGGGCCTTTGGCAGCCAGGGCATTTAACAAAATAAAGGTATGCATCAGGTCAGGGGTTCTCATCCTGATGAAAATACTATATGAAAATTTGAAATTTGGGGTGGATGGCATTGTCCTAAAGATAGGTCCACAGCTTCCATCAGATTTTCAAAGGAGATGCTGATGTTTTAAAAGGAGCAAAGGATTATTGTCCAAGGGCTCTTGCCTATTCTAACAATAGAAAACAGGCAGGCTCCAACAAGCCCATCATCACCACAGGCTCCATACTTCTTCAGAAATCACCTGGTCTCCCAGAGCCGCTACGTGCAAGGCCATCCACTCCACAGGGCCAAAATCTGACCAGGCGTGACACGTTAGCATGGTGCACGTCCAGCTCCCAGAAGGCTGTGCGACAAGCTTAATGTTAGAGAAAATTAGTACCTCGACAACTAGGAACCACATTCAGCTTTTCCACTCTCCTCGCTCAGGCACAGTGCTCCAACAGCCACTGAGTGGAAACACAAGGGTCCCTGCTTTCAGACGCTCTGCAGAAGATGAGCACCTTGGCTCTGGGGTGGGGTGGGGTCACTGCACCCCATCCCACACGGTAGGGGACTGATGCTCGGTGCTCTGTACAGTTTGGAATGGTTCTCAGTGGCCTGGCCTTGCATTTGCATGGATGGAGGACCACAGTAAAGCCTGTTTTCCAAGGAAAAGGAGGGTTGTCCTCACTCAGGGGACAATTTATGGGTGTCCGTGAAGGCAGGGTGGACAAGCAGAGCTTTCAGAGGCTCTGTCCAGCTCAGCCATCTGTGATTCAAGGGCATGGCTGACTCACCCTCCAAGCCACAGGCCCCTAGCCAACCATCTTTTCATGCACACCTAGAACCCGTGCCCCAGGCCTGCCACGCACCCCTTGACCCCCCCACACCTCAGTCTGCTCACCTGCAAAGTCCAGGCCCTGGATGAGACAATGCCAATGTCCCTTCTGCTACGAGTGCTTAATATTAGGATTGAGTCATTCAGACCCAAACGAGAGAAAAAAGGGCATTCTGCCTCGGGACCCTGCTCTTGTCCAGGCACCCACAGGAGCTCTGCCTCAGAGGAGGACAAGGTGGAGAGGTCAGCAGGCCACCTCCATTCCCCGGGGCCTGTTCCCTGCACACCTCCTCAGCTGCAACTGCCAGGGCCCCCGCAGGAGGGGGCAGCCTTGGAAAGGGAGGAGGTGGTCCTGGCCACCAAGGACAGGTCCCTCCGAGGGCGAAAGGTGCTGGGCAGACCAGGAGCTCTCCCGCCTACGCCTCTGGGGCCTCCCCTCCTCCTCCATGGAGAAGCACAGGGATGGCTCTGAACTTGAGCAGTGCAAACGGACCACCGGGGCCAAGGGGTCAGGGCAGAGGAGAGGCGCCGGGCAGCACGCGGAGGGGGCCCGGCAATGCACCTGTGGGGTGGGCCTCCGACGCCGAGCCGGCTGCTCACCTGATGAAGGTGGTCTTCCCGGTGGAGTACTGGCCCACCAGCAGGACCATGGGCTTGTTGTCGAAGTCGGCGTCCTCCAGGGCCGGCGAGTGGAACTCATGGAAGCGGTAATGCTCTTCCAGGGGCAACAGCTTGGTCTTGTAGAGTTTCTTGAGCCCCTCGCTCACCGTCTGGAAGACCTCAGGGTCCTTCCTCCGGCGATCGTCGGTCCCCAGCCAGCTGAACATCGCGACGGCCGCGCGCCCCGCCGCCCAGGCGCAGCAGGCTCTCGGGGAAGGCGCTGCTCACCGGGAGAGCTCGGAGCTCAGCCGCACCATGGCCCACGCGCCGCCGCTGGCCCCCGGCTTCATTCGGCGGCAGCCCAGGCCGGGGCTCGGCTCGACTCGGCGCCGCGGCGCAGGAGGGCTGCGCTCTTGGAAATAAACGAACGTCGAGGCTGCGAGGAAACTGCCAGATGCCGGGGTCCCCGGCCCCCCTTGCCAGCCCTCGCCCTGGCTCGCGTCGCGCTCGCCGCCGGCTAAGAGATGCTCGGGCTCCGCGGCTGCGCGGTTCGCGGACAGCTCCGCAGCCGCAGCGGCATCCCGCGGCCCCGGCGCCGTTTAAATGCCAGCCTCGCAGGAAGCCGGCGCGCGGAGGAAGTCCCCGAGTGCTGGCAAGGCCGGGCCGGCCGCGCGGTGCCAGCGACGCGAAGCCGGGCAGGGCGCCGCCATGTCTGAGGGCAGCGCTCTGAGGAGAGCCGGGGCCGACCGCGTCCCGTGGGGCAGGCGCGGGCGGCTGGGCCCTGGCCTTGGGAACAGCGCCCTCTCAGGGACGGCTGCGAAGACAGAATCGAGATGCCCTGCTTGGAGGCTGGCGTTTCCTTCCAGCCACTGCGCTCAGAACGCAGGTACTCTAGTATTTGGCAGTATTTTTTCTTGCGGGCGCGTGGGAAGGATGGTCCAATGTCAGGTTCAATGAAACCACTCGAGGGGCCGCCTCCTGAACTGTTTGCCAGGCTTGGGGTGAGCTCAACGCTGTTGGCATTCCTTCCCTCATTTTGTTTGTTCCTTCCTGCCCACCAGACACGCCTGGCTCCGCTAGTGCTGTGTTCTTATCAGCGGGCAGGCACCTTGTGGTGACTTGAGGTTAACTGGAGCGCTTATATAGGCTGAGGTCCCGCAGTGGCGGCCGAGGCCAGCCGTGCAAGGGGGACACGCTGGCAGGGGGCCTTGGGAGCCCAGGGAAGGGGAGCCTCACTCACGCAGGCGCTGGGTCCAGTCAACCATGGATGGACGTTCCAGGCGGAGCAAGCGGCCCTTGCGAAGGCCTGAGGAACGTGGAGGAATGTGTTGAGTCCAAGACAGAGCAAGCAGCTTGGCAGAACTGGAGTGGACTCCAAGAAGGTGGAGCAGGTGACTGAAGTCAGGCAAAGGAGGCTGAGGCTGTGAAGGCCGGGACACACAGCGACTGGGAACTAAAACGGTACTCTTCCTAGTCACTGTTGCGCTAACACATTGCTCCCCAGGGTTATGGTCTCTGCCAGCAGTGTTTCCTCTAACCTTCCTAGCTGTTGTAGCTTGAGTAAGATATGGCTCCTGACCTCGTGCAGAAGTCCTAAATTGCTGTATTAAGAGCATAGAAAGGGGTGATCCAATTGAGGTGTTTAGGAGGTAGGTCCTTAGGTCACTGGACACATGCCCTTGGGAGGTGTTCTCCCCAGAGGGTTGCTTACAAAGGCTCAGCTGATTGTGGTCACTCTCTGCTTCCTGGTTCACCATGGGCTCACTCATTTTGCCAACTTCATCAGAGGGTCCAACCAATGGGGCCAGTCTTGCACCCCAAAACTGTTAGCCCAGAGAAACCCTCTTCCTTTGCAAGTAGCCTGGGTGAGGTGTTTAGCCCTAGTGGCCAAAAGCTGAGGAATACAGCAGCTCTGTGAGGCAGACGTTATTACCTCCAGCAGCATACCCAGGAGAGCAGATGGGAACATGGGCCAGGTATGGGCAAAAAGGGGTGCATTGTCTGTAGGGGATTTAAACATAAGAGTAAACCAACTCAGGATTGATCTGCTTTGTATTAGCACTGTTGTGAACAACGTGGTGAGCAAATGCTCCTCCTAAGGTAGATGGCTTCCCCTGCCTCTGTTCCACAGGTGAGGAAGCCAGGTAGGCTAAAGCACCAGGTGGGGACTGACGATGCTGGGGGCCAGGATGGACAGGGAGCAGAGGAACGACAGAGGCTGGAGGCCAGGAGATGGTTCAGGAGGCTGGGAGGCATCAGCAGTAGGAGCAGAGAAGATGTCTGAGCCAAGAGATTTTCCTTCAGGGTAGAACTCACAGGTCTTGGTGAGAAGGAAAGAAGGGTGAGATCGCGTCTAAGCTGATTCTGGATTTTCTACTATAGACGCTTGCAGAAGCTCCTCCACTAACTAGGAGGCAAGAAGAAAGAGGATGGAGCAGATAGGGCCGATGCGTTTGGTCTGACACATGGTGCATTTGAAGTGCCTGTGGAAGCTTTGGGTAGAGGATGACAGTGAAGCCATGGGGCTTTGCTACGCTAAGCGGAGGCGGGTGCTGAATAGAACCTCCTCAGTGACAGCTCTGATCTCCTGGATCCTTAAACTCCAAAGCTGATTACCTCTCCCTGCATTCTCTGTACCCCTGATAGAGAAACCACTTAGATGAATATTTCATCCTTGGCAATTAGGCTCCAGCTTGTCCACTGAAGTAGTATCACAAACATTGGACAACTCACATGTACAATCAGAGCAAATGCCGAGGGTGTGTGGAGCTTGGAGAGGTCTGGGCCCATCTTGGGAGAGAGGTCAGGACAGCCGGGGTGGCGGGGGGACATTGAGTGCCCCATTAAGAACATATTTCAAGACTTTTGTGACCAGTTAGGCATTCTGTTGTGTGCCACTAAATGCCCAGTGTGAATATCTAATTTGCCATGTGCCTATTGACACAGCTACTCTGGCCTAAACCCTGAATACATGGAAATCTACCTTTCTCCCCCTAAAAGAACCAAGTAATAGTGCGTATTTTTATATCCTAGCATTGTTATAAAACACAATGTTAAAATATATACCATTTACAAAACAGCAAATACCTCAGAAATAGATCTGACAAGACATGCAAGACTTTTCTATGGACTTGAGAAAAACATGGTGGAAATGTGCGAAAGGAGTTCTAAATCTGTGGAAGAAATACACATATTCCATCAGGAGAGAGTTCATGTCACCAAGCTGTGAATTCTTTACAGCATATGAGGGGGCTTCAGAGAGTTCAGGGGAAAGTGGAAAAACAAGGCATGTGTTCCATGAAGCCCCTCAGAACTGACAGAGTGACTAACTGATAGAGCTCATTTAAATCACAGTCTGAACAGTACTGTCCATGGGAATTAACACGACGATTCTAAAATGTCTATAGAACAATGGTCTAAGAATAGCGAAGTGATCCCAGAAGAGGAGAGAAGACAAGGAGAGAGAGGAAGAGGAGGAGGAGGAGGAGGGGACCATGTGAAGACAGCAACAGCAACGACCAAGTGAAAGGAAGCTGCCCTAGTGGACGTTATGATAAAGTTGCAGTGGTTAAATTTGTGTGGTTTTGGCACAGAGATAGACCAGTAGAACAATGACACAGTAAAATAGCCAGCAAATGTAGACTCAGAACACAGCAGGTGCAATAGAGAGCACGTGTATATGGTGGTAAGGTCAGGAAGAATTCCTTCAACAAAACACCGGAAGTACAAATTGCAAGTGAAAAAGATTAGTAAGTTTGGCGATAGTAAATCTAAGAGCTTTTGTTTAACTAAAGATACAAAAGACAAGATATTTACATTACAGTAAGCCAACAAAAGCACATCCAACATATATAATCAGTGCCTGTGTGTCCATAAGACAGAGATTCCAATAGAAAAAAATAGCTGATGAAAAACATAAAAATGTCTTTTACAAAAGAAGCTATGCAAATATCCTATAATCTGTCATAAGTAAAGATGTCAAAATGGCAAAAACATAAAGTTGGATGATGCCAAGTGTACCTGAGGCTGTAGAACAGGAGTGGGGAACATGTTGCCCATGAAATCATTTGCTCTGGCCCTGCCACGGCAAATACAGGTAGGACTTTCAGTATGTCTAGAGCAGGCTAATTTTTAAGTTGCTAACTTTGTGTAGCCTACAGATGATGTCCAAATGGCCCTTGGCAGCAAAAAGGTTCTCTACTCCTGTTGTATTGTAGAGCAAAGGGGGCTCTCTGAGAAGGCTGGTATGTGTGCAGATGGACACAACCTCTTGTGAAGCAATTTGACATTGAGTGATGAAGCTGCAGATTCGCAGATTCTACCACTTACGTCCAGCAAGGCCACCCCAAAGCCTTATCTGGAGAAACACTTGTTCTTGTGCATAGGGAGATAAGTATGAGAAAGTCAGTGATGACATACTTTGTAGCAGCAAAAAAATTATAAACAACCAAATGGCCCTCACCAAGTGTATGGATTGAACAAACCCACGCATGTGTTGAAAACTCAAAGGCTTTTATTTACAGTTAGTTAATTAGTTAATGGTTTAATACTAATGATTGATAGATTATGGTAGAGACATGATCTAATTTTGGCAGCAAGAAGGTGGGACCAGTGGGAGAGCACCAAGTCTTTGGAGATTTGCTTTGGGAAGGTAGTTCTTGCAAAAGGACTGGTCCCCAAAGTGGAGGCCGGCCTGCTTGCTTTCTCTGCTTTCTGGCTCTCTGTGTGATCATTACTCCACACCTGTTCCTCCACACCAGGTGCCAAACTGGCGGGGCCACCTGATCTTGGACTGTGAATCACCACACTTGAAGATAAAATACACCTTCTCCTGTCTTCTCGTATGGTTTTAGTTAAAGTCACAGAAAGCTGACTAATACGCCAAGAAGGGCGCATGGATCATGTTGATTTGATAAAGAAGAGTATGTAACTATGGAGGAAGAAATGAAGGAATGGAACCACCAATACCAAAATGTAGTACTGAGCTGGGTGAATACGGATAGCCTGAGGTAGGGTATTACGCATAGCATAATCCCATATCTTTACCATTTGAAGCATGCAGAACCCACTGTCTTGCTTACGGGCACACTTATATATAGAGAGAAGGTTTTAGAAAGAGAAGAAGGGAATAACACCAGTCATCATATTGTCTTCTGTCAACGAAGAAAGTGAATGGAACCGAGGATGGGTACAAAGGGGCCTTCAACTATCTTTGTGATATTTTATGCTTAAATTTGATAATAAATACTGGGCTGTTCCTTTCTTATTCTGTCTTTCTTTCTTTAAAAATCTCATCCCCAGATATAGAAGATAGATTTTTTTTTCATAATCATCTTCAAGACAAGCTCTTTATACCTGCCTCTCTTAGCTCTTAAAAATAAAATTATGTACCCCTGATAAACCCATCATCCAGTTCAAGGACTTGAAAACTTGGCAATGATTTTCATCTCCCCACATGTTCTTCCCCCATCCTGTCCCCTCCCTCTTCTCCACCCTTAAAGAGAACCCCCATGCTGAATTTCGTGCATCTTATTCCCTTGCTTTTTAAATTAATGCTGTTACATACAAAGGCACGTCCAATGAACATATTGTTGGAGGTTTTCTGTGTTTTGGGATGTAGCTCCCTGGAAACTTGGCTTTGCTCCCAGGCAACATTTTGTCTGCGGCACTTGTGTTCAGGCCCCTCTGGCTGTTCAGGGCCTCCAGCGAGTGCATCTCCCCCATCCAGCACATGGCTTCCTTTTCTCTGTCACCCAGCAGTGCCTGCGGGTTCTCAGCCAGACAACCTGCATGGTGTAGACTCCTGGTCCGTCTGTATCTTCTTTGTGTGATCTCAGGGAAAGTGGCTTCAGTCATGCCCCAGCTAAAAGCATTTTCTTGGGATTAAAGGAGACAATGCATGTGGAGTGCTTAGTGCACGCTATACTGTTAATGTTTAAGGTTATAATTGCTATTACTTGTGTTTACTATGAGGCACTGCTTTGTATGCCATTTAATAAGCTATCTAATAAGCTATTGAATGTGCTTAATGCTTAGTAGCTTTGGTATTTAATAAGCTATTTAATAAGCCACCATCTAATAAGTTAGTAGTTCCTTTTGGTTCATTTGTATTTTAATTGAAGATGGCTCATTGACTCTAAGGAATATAATTGCTAACAGTGGAATCTGGCACTTGCCACAGGCTCTTGGAGTTGACACTGTGAAACAGAGGCCTTCCTTATCTCTTGCCTTGCTTACCAAGACCCCTGCCCGCCATGGTGTGGCCAGGAGTGAAGGGAGGCGATGGGCAGTGGTGACCTGGAACACAAGGATGAACCCTGATGAGAGTTGCAGGGCAGGGAATTAGCAGAGTCAGGAAGCGCAGTTAAGGACAGCCAGCCATGCACAAGCCTGGGAATCCAAGGCCTCTCAACCTGGCCCAGCTCACTAGTGCAGCCTTGTGAGTCTCCCGTGGCCTCGTGTGCGCACATGGAGCTGGCACAGCAGTGCTCCTGCAGGGCAGGGCTCTTTGTACTCTCTGGTCCCAGTGCCTCAGTCTTCCTTCTCCTGCCCCCTGCTGGTGGATGCCCACTTCTCCTTTGTGGCTCAGTCCAGTGCTCTCCACTCTTTCCCTATGAGCTGTCCCCTACCTGAATGTGTTATCTCATTTGTCACACTTCAACATAATTATGTGTTTAAATGATTTGCCTCCATATTGTGTTTGGCTAGGGTTGCTGTCCTTAGTGGAGGGGAAGGTGTGTCAGCTCTGCATGTTCCCACTGTTGAGAATCAGGTTAGGTTGCTGTGTTCCACTTTGTGTCGCTGTCACTGGATCCCTGAGACTGGGCCACTGATAATCGACAGTTACTAGCTCATAGTTCTGGAGGCCAGGAGGTCCGGTAAGGGCCTTCTTGCTGTGTCATCCCACAGGGAAAGGGCGAAGAGAAGCTGAGAGGGAGCAGGAGATGGAACTCCCAGCTGCAGCCCTTTTGTAGTCAGCTTTGTTCAGTTCACCAGGATGGGGCCCCCATGACCTGAACACCTGCCAACAGGCCCCACCGCCCAGCTCTGGCACTGGGGATCAAGTCACCCACACAGGGTGTTTGGGTGACGCCTTCTAACCACAGGAGTTCCATAACCTTTCTCTGTGATAGCACTGTCATCTGTGGAGCCAGGCCCAGTCACCACACTTTACAAGGTTGTTATGGGGCTACATCAAACTGTGTAGATGGAGGATCTAATACGTGTGTGTGTATCTAGAGAAAGCACGCAGTAAATGGTTGAAACAACTGAATGTGATAATACTGAATGTACAAAAGGGAAGGGACATCTGGATTAAATAGAAAAAGATGAGGAACTTGTACTCAGGAAATTCATAAACCAAGAAGGAGATGACGAGAGAAGGTCAGGCTGGTTCCAGCCATGTGAGAGTGACACTCCCCATTCCATTCCCAGCACTGTTGTGGCATCTTCTGAATTGCTGGGACAGTGTTCTCTCATCCATGGCAGCTCTTGTGGGCAGAAGGATGGCTTCATCGCTCAGTGTAGCTGGAGCCGGGACATGCAACATTACAGAGAGGAAAGCCTGCCCCATGGGAGGCAGCAGTCTCTGCTTTATTCAAGTATCAGTTTGATGTGCCTCCAGTGGCGCGCTCTTCTAAGACCCTCTGGTCCCCAAGGCAGGGTCTTTGGAACCTGTAAGCCATGAACTGTCATCAGAGAACCTCCTGCTCCTCGCCTCCCATCCTGTCCCTGCTTTGGGACACATGTCTTTCCAAGGCTGGGCAATGCCACTGTCGCTTCCACACTGCCACCATGAAGGCGAGGCTGGGGATGATTTCGGGAGGAAGCTCAAACACGGAGGTGACAGCTCTGCCCACGGAGGCCTCTTTCACTGAGCTATCTCTCGTGCCACCTGCTTCCCCCTCCATCCACAGAAGATATGCGGAGCTTACTCAGATCCCTGGCTTTCCTGAAAAATGAAAGAACCCCTGAGGCAGCAGCGTGAGGGGCCGAGCAGGTGGGTGGCGCAGGAGTAATGTCGGGGATGGGGCGGGCAGGGTGACGAGCGTGTGAGTCTCCCGCAGGGGTGAGCCAGCCTCACACTGGGCTCTGACCGACAGAAACAAGCTCTCGGTTCCCAGCCCAGCCAGATCAGTCTGTCCCTGCAGGCAGGATCTCTGTGGCACAAGCTGCTAAACAAGCTCATTTGGATAAGAGAAATATCAAGGGAAGAAACCTAGAGCCGAAGGAGCCCTGGGCCAGACCAGGTCCGGGCATTTTGCGGGGTTGTCTGTGTGCTTTCTGCTTCTGTCTTCCTCTGCGGGAGCTGACAGCAAGCGCCTCGGAGAGGAAAGCTCCACTCAGTGCTCAGGGGCTCTGGGTGAGCAAGCTGAAAGATGAGACATGTGAATCGCCTGGGGTTGGCTTATGATTCTAAAATTGTAAGGCTCTGATCACGACAGAAACATCTGGAAGCACAAAGAATCTGACAAGGCACAAGTCATGAGCACGGGTTATTTGAAAATACTTGTACAGGGGCTGGTACTGCAGCATAGTGGGTCAAATAGCTGCCTGCAGTGCTAGCATCCCCTGTGGGCGCCAGTTCGAGTCCCTGCTGCTCCACTTCCAGTCTAGCTCCCCACTGATGGCCTGGGAAAGCAACGGAGGGTGGCCCAAGTCCTTGGGCCCCTGTACCCACGTGGAAGACTAGGAGGAGGTTCCTGGCTCTTGGCTTTGGACCAGCCCAGCTCCAGCTGTTGTGGCCATTTGTGGAGTGAACCAGAGGATAGAAGATCTCTCTCTGTGTCTCTCCCTCTCTCTGAGTAACTCTTCCTTTCAAATAAATAAATAAATACAGTGAAAGAAAGAAAGGAAAAGAAGGGAAAAGAAAGGAGAAATAAAGAAAAAAAATACATGTACGGGGTCTACACTGTGGTGCAGTGGATCAAGCTGCCACCTACAACATTGGCATCCTGTATGGGCACTGGTTCAAGTCCTGGCTGCTCCCCTTCCAATCCAGTTCCCTGCCAATGCACCTGGGAAAGCAGCAAAAGATGGCTCAGGTGTTTGGTCCCCTGCCACCCATGTGGGAGACCTAGGTGGGGTTCCAGACTCCTGGCTTTGGCCTGGCCCAAGCCCTGGCCATTACAGCCATTTGGGGAGTGAACCAGTGGAGGGAAAGCCAGATCTTTCCCTCTCTCTCTAACTGTACCTTTAAAATAAATAAGTCAATATACAAGTCTTAGAACAAACCTTGTACAAAAGCAGACAAAAATCTTCCTCCTCAGCAGCCATCTCTTGCTTTTTATGTTAAATTTGTATTTATTTTTCTCTCATTTGTATTTTGCTTTTGTTGTTTATTAAGTTTAAAATTATTTTAGAGAAAAACTCATATTATTTTTTATGTGTTTTCCTACTGTGATAAACCTGGAGTTTTCCTGTTTGAATACTAGAGATTTTCTTTTTTCCTGGTTTTCTGAAAAGTGTGATTTTAAATTTCTGTATGTAATGCAATTCATTATCCTTTTTTTTTTTTTTTGACAGGCCGAGTTAGACCGTGAGAGAGAGAGAGAGACAGAGAGAAAGGTCTTCCTTCCATTGGTTCACCCCCGAAATGGCCACTACGGCCGGCGCATTGCGCCGATCCAAAGCCAGGAGCCAGGTGCTTCCTCCTGGTCTCCCATGCGGGTGCAGGGTCCAAGCACTTGGGCCATCCTCCACTGCCTTCCCGGGCCACAGCAGAGAGCTGGACTGGAAGAGGAGCAATCGGGACAGAACCGGCACCCCAACCGGGACTAGAACCCGGGGTGTCAGCACCGCAGGTGGAGGATTAGCCAAGTGAGCCGCAGCGCAGGCCTCATTATCTCTTTTTGATGAAAAGTTAAGGAGTAATCATCTGTTTGAAATGATTCCTTGTGAATGCTTTCAGTTGTATCATCTTCCGTTCTCTTGTGATATATCAAACTTTCGAAAAACATTATCATAACTTTCTGAGTAATTTAAGCCCTATTTTAGTATTATTTATTTTGGTTCAGTGAGCTATTTGTCTTTTAGTAACATGCATTTAAATTACCTGCCATTATGGCATGTATGATACATTTAATATCTGGTATGAATAACACCCTCTCTCTTACCAATATATTCAAAAAACCTCCTGGATTGTCTCCCTTTCTACTTATCTCCTCCCTCCTTCTCTTTCTCAGTCTTTCACTTTCTTCTAATTGAAAAGCAGTGATGAAAATTGGGAGTCATTTTGCTTCAGTCTCTGTACCATCTACCAT